ACAAAAGGCATTTTGCGCGAGAATTTACAGGAAAAATGCCGGGGCCCATGATCGCTGCCCACACTGTGTGCGAGCCTGCGCAGTCGAAATGCACTTGGACGTTTCACAAGAGCCGCTTCGTTTGCAGGAAAAATGTCGCCGACCAGCCGGAGCACCCTGATCAAGCACTGGCCTTTAGACTTACCGTAAGAACCCTTCAGTCTAAACACACCGTTTGTGGAAGAACACATTTTGCATGCATCTTCACAGGATTTCATGCTCTTGCAGCTTTGCTTGCCGGCTGCTGCAACTTTGTGCGTCACGGTGCGTCTTATCGTCGGATTATCGCGATGTCTGCGAAAGAGCCAAATATTCCTTACAAATATTCCTTATCCTTCATTTCGTGTATCGTGTAAAGAACAAGCAAAATATAGTATCAAAAAATGCCCAAACCCTTTCTGGAGCCCTCCTAACAAATTCAGAATACTTAGTCTTTCCCACCTTTTTCCACATTTTGCATAGTGACAGTGGCAGTGACAGTGGCAGCAGCGTGGCAGCAGTAGCAGCAATAGCAGCAGTAGCAGCAGTAGTAGCAGTAGTAGCAGTAGTAGCAGTAGTAGCAGTAGCAGTAGCAGTTGAAGTTGCTGCTGCTGCTGCTGCAGCTGCTGCTGCTGCTGCTGCTGGTGCTGCTGCTGCTGCTGCTGCTGGTGCTGTTGGTGTTGGTGTTGGTGTTGGTGTTGGTGTTGTTGGTGTTGGTGTTGTTGTTGTTGTTGTTGTTGTCGTTGTCGTTGTCGTTGTTGTCGTTGTTGCCCTTGCTGCAGTTAGACAACTTTTATTCCCTTTCGCGCTCCCCTTTGCTGTCGGCCGGGGTCGGCGGATATCTCCATTAGATATTGGTTATGTATATCTGCATTGGATACCGATTAATTAATGATGTTTGAAAATTTGTTTTCCACGTCCAGGTCCCGGAAGCACGGCTTCAAGCGCAGGAACGTGAATGGAAGAGGCTCTTAGCGAGGCCTTTTAGTGACTTGGCGAAATGGGGGGTCTAAGGCCTCGGTTGAAGCGTCACCAAAATGTTTTTTTTGATGATGTTCAAATATGTTCAATGAGTGTATTCATGTTTTTTTTCGTGGAAACCTAACCAGCTATATCATATAGCAACAATTGTCAACGTCATTACGAAATTTTGTCTATGGCTATTAAAACATGGGAAAAATGATGATCAACCAGTAGATTTGGGCCTTATTCGCCAGACAAACTGCGAGCTGTTGCAGGCAAAACATCGTCCAACTGCAGCGATCCTACAACAGTTACCCGCTCAACCGCTGCAAACAGCACCGTTACTTGTCTGCAACAAACATTTGGAACCATTGAAACAGATCGGGAGAAGCTGGGCTCCATCCACCTGTTGTGCAGATCGAAACGGAGTTTGGCAATCCATGACACAGGGCCCTTCGCCTTGTAATTTTTTTGGTCCATTTGGCGAGTTCTTGTTGACTCAAACTTGCAGACAGCGTGAAGTCTGGCGCGACGATAATTTAAATGGAGATGAACCCTGGGTATACGGTACAATCATCACATTGAGTGATTTGCCAACGCAAGGGGGTTCAGCTCCAGAAGAATTTCAGAAGAATTGAGGCAGTGACGCAGGGATTGACGATTCATGTTTTTTTGCATTTTTTCTTTTTCCAGGGATCACAGCACTGCAGCACCTTGGAGTCTGAACATCTGAGGCTGAAACAAGCTGTGCTGCGGGTATCTCCAGTCTTGACCTGGTACCTTGCCATATAATTTGGGGATATTTGGGGGTTCTTCAAATCGGAAGGACCCAATGGGACCCCCAAAAATCACCACGGGGAACCTTGATGATAACCAAGGGCGCCCATTTTAGGAAACCCCAGATATCAACAATCACTGTTAAGCGGACATAGGGTTTGCAACGTGTCTTATATGTGTCCATCGCATTGAGGCCATTGAGGTTTCTCCATAAAGGATGAACTGGAATGAATTGGACCAGGTTTGATCCAGGGTAATAATATGTAATATTTTTTTCCCATTCGAATATGGTCATTTGGATCAGGTGCGACGTGTTCGTCGAGACGGCTGCTTCATGTGGAGATCACAGGTCCGATGCTGATTTTTGGGCAGGATTCTATGGAAATACTGGTTGATGGCTTCAAGTATGGGGATTCAGCAATCTAAAATGGGATATAATCGGGGATATAATGGGCACATAACCAATGATGATTTTGTTCGTGGATTCCAAATTTACACCATAGAAATGGGATGATGATCCAATGATGATCACATTTTAAAGGATTTTAAAGGAGGGGTGCTGTGGGGCTTAAACATTTCTCTTGATTGACTATCACGATCCAGTGGGTTTCGAAACTTCCGGCCACCGTGTAGAATTTTTATGATTATTTGTGTCTCCCACAGATTGCATAGTATCAGGCGAGGCACACCCATTGCAGCAGGTGCTTCCAGGGAACGTCATGAGTGAAGCAGACGGACCAGAAGACAAAGGTCCCTTGCACTCAAACCGGTGGTATGGACCATGGCATACTTTATGGGTGCCCCATGAGTGCTGGCAGCTGACGATACAATTCTGGCTCACGCTAAGGTGAAGAGGAGAAGGCACAGACACCGTTAGACACGCTTGGAAGGCTGTAGCTGGGCACCAGTGAAATGAGCCTGCAATAGTCGCATGAATCACTGTTAAAACAGTAGAAAACTTTGAAACAAAAACTGTTTTGCGAGGCACTGCTTTTGTTTTCTTCATCGTGCTTGATCGCGCTTGAGGCATGCCGACAAATGATAAGGCCCCCAAAGTGGGGTGGAAGTTCGTGACTTTGCTGACGTTGGCGCAAGAGGGCAGCGGTGTAGGATCACAGAAGGTTCGAACGGCTTAACACGAGCCGATAGACGAAGGAACCATGCTGGAATCATCCGAAAAGCGAAGTGCATGCATGGGTGTTTCTACAGCTGTTTCAAGTATCTCAAGTGAATCTCTTGGACAATCCATTTGGCACGAAGATTTGTATTCCCGGCAACGAGGTATTGCGTCCCTGCACTTGGCGTGCCTTCAAAATGCCACAAGATGCACAGTAACCTTATGAAAATCTTACCAGCAAATTCTGAGGGTTGTCGAATATTTATTTTTGTTCTTTTTATTTGTAATTAGGTCTTTAATTTTTTTTGTAATTCCTGTTTTGTGCTGTCATTTTTTTGTATTTTTTTGTTGCCTTTCCCAGATTGGGAGTCATTTTTTTTGCATTTCCCAGATTGGGAATCATTTTTTAAGCTTTTTTGCTTTTTCTCAACCCAAAATGACAATAACATGACAAACAAATGACACACACATAACAATAAAATGATAACGCACATCCAAAATGACAAACCTGAATGGCAAACAATGACAAGATACACATTTTTGATTTTCCAGTGTTTGCAGGCCCAAGATTTTCCTAACGGTAACCCCAATGACTTATGTCTGATGTGGTGTATGATTTGCATCCTGCAAGCTATTGGAAACTACAACCCACGAGCCACGAACTGCTGATGGAGCCCACAATTTTTCAGAACGGCCCCTCATGGGGGAGTGATTTTTGCTCTAAAAATGGTCAAAAATACTGGTATTTACAGTGTTTTGTGACCAAAGTGGGCTTAAAACCGTTATTTTAGAGCAAAAAATAGAGTTCACCTCCAAAGGCTCTCTCATATGCTGTCATAAATCACTGGCATTTACAGACTCTTGTGGCGGGATTCAATTTTTCCTGTGAGGCTTGCAAAGAACTACAAACAATCAACACATAAGAGAAAACATCTGCTGCACAACATGCCATAAGAATGGGTAGCTGCACATCTTGGAACAGAATATACAGTAGCAATAGGTGACTAGTGTGATGGAGGTGATGGAGAAATTCTATTGCTAAAAGCAATTGATATGATATAGGTGTTTCTTCATGAACTTGTTAGATTGATATCATCTTAACATATATTGTATATAGAAGCATTTGCGCTACATAAGAAGTATGGTGGGAAGGGCATACATTGTATAGGTGGATGTAACACAAGCACATCTAACACTCTGGATAAGAAGGATGGTGGGAATGTTACAACTCAAGAAGTAGGTACATATCTCGTTTATCATTGTTATCTTGCAGAGTCTTGTCAGCAGTCTCATTTCAATGAATAGACAGAGAGAGAGAGAGAGAGAGAAAGCCTAAGAGACAAAGACGTGTGTCAAGCTGTTGAATATTAAGGTCAGGCAACCTGTGTGGTGGCATAGCTATTCAAAGATAACGGTATGTTTGCTTCTTTGAAACATAAGTTTAAAATATGGCCAAGATCCAAACATACACAATCTAGAATCACCAAAGCCTGCACAGGCATCAAAAAAAAACAAACAAACCAATAGATGCACCAAACCTGCACAAGCACCAACAAAAAAACAAACAAACCACTAGATGCACCAAACCTGCAAAGGCACCAAAAAAAAAACCTAAACTTTCCAGGAACTATGGGTCCACTTCTGAGTAGTTGCTGGAATTTTTGTTTTTTTTGGTGCCTGTCGATGTTTGGTGCATCTAGTGGTTTGTTTTTTTGTTTTTTTTGGTGCCTGTAAGTCAGAGTCACCAAACCTGCACAGGCACCAAAAAAAACAAAAAAAACAAACCACTAGATGCACCAAACCTGCACCGGCACCAAAAAAACCAAAAAAACTAAACTTTCCAGGAACTATGGGTCCACTTCTGAGTAGTTGCTGGATTTTTTTTTTTGGTTGGTGCCTGTCGATGTTTGGTGCATCTAGTGGTTGGTTTTTTTTGTTTTTTTTGGTGCCTGTCAATGTTTTTGTATATCTCATGTCAAGATCATGATGAAAAAAGTGTGTTTTACTAGGGTTTTAGACCCTCCAAATGCATAAAACATCGATATTTACAGTGTTTTATCATCATTTTTAATGAAAATTCACTCCCCCACGGGGTGCCGCCCTCCAATTTTTCTTGGTGGCAGAGGTCGCAACCGCCACAGCGACTTTTACATCCGTTGCTGCCGACAGTGCTTCGCCCAGCTTGTGGATGTCTTTTCCGACTTGTCGTCGCTCGAAACCATAATTTGTTTTGATGCGTTTCTTGGCCGCAAGTGGCAGGGACCATGTACATCGCTGGCCTTGCTCTTCCAAAAGCCAAAGGCCAGTCTGGCCGCTTCAAGGCACAATTGGATAGAGAGCTGCAGTTCCCATGCGATCAGCAAAGAAAATCAGCGCAGTTCTTTCCCAGAGGCATTTTTTTGTGCCACCTTTGTGCCAGGGCCGGTGCTACGTGTGTGGCGAGCGAGGGCTGCAACCTTGGTGAGATCGTCAGAATCGTCGTCCAGTTGACAGGACCCGAACCCCCGAGGCACAGTAAATCCAACTGCAGCATGACCGGCTTGGAGAGGAAACCCGAGGCCACAAACTGTGGGAGGTCGCCGGATGTCCAAGTTGCCTATAGTTGCCTATAGTTGCCTATAGTTGCCTATAGTTGCCTATAGTTGTCTATGAACGCATGTGAAACTCAATGAAGCTTATGAAAAAAAATAAGAGAAACATACTGGCCAACCGGGGGAAGTACATCGGTCTGACGTGCGTTTAATGCAACGGCCAGGCTGTTGCCGGGCTGTGCGCTGAGAGCATCAAGCCACCCCATTAGGCATTTGCGGGATGCGACAAAAAGTCAAAAGAGATGGTTGCTGGACTTGGATCCTTGAGGTGTTGAATCAACGGGTAGACATCAAAATAATAGACATGAACAGACATGCAGACAGTGTCTCGTGGCTGCCTGAGAACCATCCTTTCTGGTTTTGCTGTTGTTTTTTTTCCCTTGCAACCACGTTGGCGTTGATTGCACTTTGTTTTGGAGATCAGGTTCTAGTTTTGGCACATTTTTTGAGTGAGAGCGGTTGCTTCATTTGGGTAGCCTTTGCAGCTCCAGTGTGCAGTCTACTGCGACATGATGAAAGCCACATATTTTATTTGAATCAAAATGCTTTCTTGCCATTGCTATCATGAGGAAACTCTACTACCTGGACTCACATTTCTCCAAATCAGCAAACTGCCTTCATGTCTCAAAAGAATTGTGGTCTTTTGCGCCTTTTTGCGACCGCTGTTCCAATGGTGGCTGGCTATCAAAATGGCACCCCGGGCGGCCAAGGTGCCAGCAACGGGGTCTCTGGAGTCTCCATTGATTTGCGCTCAGACACCGTGACCCAGCCCACCGCGGCTATGCGGAAGGCCATGGCGGAGGCGACGGTTGGAGATGACGTTTTTGGTGATGACCCCACAGTGAAAGAATTGGAAGAGAAAGTGGCTTCCATGTTGGGCAAGGAGGCAGGTCTATTTGTTGCATCAGGCCAGGCTGGTGCCGTGGTTTTGAGATTTGAAGGGTTGAAGAAGTGTTGAATTTGTTTCTTCCATGAAGACGCTTGACCCTGTGACACCCTGTGAGGCACCATGGGGAATCTCATTGCACTGGGTTGCCATTGCTCAGGCCGAGGTGAGGAGGTGATCTGTGGGAAAGACTCGCACATCTTCTTCTACGAACAGGGAGGTGCTTCCAGTCTGATGGGCATCGTGCTGAACACGGTTCAGAACCAACCGGATGGAACTCTGGATCTGGACGAAGTGGCCAAAGTGATCAAGCCAAATGATCCACACTTTGCAGTGGCAAAGGTGTTGGCTTTGGAGAACACCAGCAACAAATTGGGAGGCCTGGTTCTACCCTTGGAGTACATGGAAAAGGCTGGGGACTTCTGTGAACGTCATGGCCTCAAGATGCACGTGGATGGTGCGCGTTTATGGAACGCTGCGGTGGCCTTGAAGGTACCCATCGCCCAGTTGGCTCGCAGGGCGGATTCCGTGAACGTTTGTTTGTCCAAAGGTTTGGGCGCTCCAGTTGGATCCATCCTAGTAGGCGGGACGGGGATGACATGGGATGATAAGGTGCCCCTGTTAGACTCTGTTAGACAGTACGTGAGTCAGACATTGACATTGGGAGAAGCAGGCTCCATGTGATATCCATGTGATATTGGTCCATCCCGTTGAGGTTCCAAGGAGTACATCCTCAAGGCCCGACGTTTGCGCAAGGCTGTTGGAGGTGGTTTGCGGCAGGTGGGCGTGCTGGCTGCTGCAGGGCTCTATGCGCTAGAAAACCACTTTGAACGACTTCAGGAGAGCGTAGTAGGGGGCAGGTTTCATTGCTTGACAGTTTTTTGAGCTGAGTTTCCAAGTTTCTTCACTTGAGTCTCTCTCAAGACTCAAGATACCCAGGTTTAGATATGCTGGGTTCCTAGGATGCCCGAGTTTGGCCTAGATTGGGCATCAGATTCCAAAGGTTATTCAACTGAGCTCGGAGCAGATCTGATACCAAGCTTTGTCAATAAAAAATTGCAAAGAAACACGAACAACATTCTGAAAGTCAATCGTCCTGTGAACAAATTCTCACAAGCAAGAGTGACACAAAGTCTCCAAAACAGGGTTCCAAGATACATCCTTGGGACGAAGGTCCGACACTGAGCTTCTGCACAGTTGCCAAGGCTGGTTCTCAAAAAAGTCTACTGTAAAACAACAGAAATCTAAAGACAAAAAAACTCCATTGACACCAGTAAGATCATTTTATGTGTCAGAAGGACAGTTTCGGATTTGCTGGATGGACGAACGGCTAGATCTTGAAGGCAATAGTAAGATTGTTGTGCAATGTCGTGCAGATTCAGCAGCTGTGACGCTTTATGCAAACTTGTTTCTGGTGCAACCGACAGAATCCATTTTTGCGCTTTTGTGTTGTGCATTGATTGTGTCAGAAAGATCGGTGACCCTTTTCCCCCAGTGAGAAATGGGATACCAATGAAAGTCATGTCCACTGTGTCGATTTTGAGCGTGCTGCTTGGTGGTGCATTTGCACCAGGTAAGAAGACACAAAAGGTCCACCTCACTATTCGTTGCTTTGGGGTGACTGTATGGGTTTATATGAATTTTCATTCAGCGTTGCCCCCTCCGTTGCCGTACTCGAACCTTGAACCACTGCCCGGGTTTGTGGCAGAAATTATGATGGTTACCTGTCTTCACCTTGTCGGGTGTCCCGGATAGTTGGGGGTCGCGTCAAAATACACAGGATCCACTGTGGATCCATTGTAGATCATTATAGATTCACTTTCTGTTGCCGAGGAGGATCATGAGAACGCTGCACGATTAGCAAGTGGTCTGCAGTCCCTGGGATTGGACGTGCTCCCTGCACACACAAACATTGTCTTCTTTGACATGGAGGAGGCTCCAGTGATCGTGGCGAAGTTGGCATCACGAGGAGTGCGAATTCTGTGCACAGACGGAGAGAAACGTTGCCGGGCTGTTGCGAATCTTCACACGCAGGCGCCGGACATAGATTACTTCCTGGCCGAGCTGGCCGAAATTCTCGGGAAGCCAAAGAAATGACATGCGTTGTTTGCGAGAAAAGCAAACTTTATGTATCTTACTATGAAAATAATAACGGAGTGCTATGCTACTGTGCGTTCTCTTGCGCTTCCACACATACATTATGCTACGCTACTGTGCGTTCTCTTGCGCTTCCACATGTCATGCTACGCTACTGTGCGTTTTGTTGCGCTTCCACACATCATGCTAGGCTACTGCGCGTTCTGTTGCGCTTCCTCACATGCCTGTGCGTTCTCTTGCACTTCCACGTGTCATGCTACGCTACTGTGCGTTCTCTTGCGCTTGCACATGTCATGCTACGCTACTGTGCGTTCTCCTGCGCTTCCACATGTCATGCTACGCTACGGCGCGGTTTCTTGCACTTCCACATATCATGCTACGCTACTGCGCGTTCTTTTGCGCTTCCACACATGCGTTGTGCTAGATCCGGTTTTGGAGCTGCAATTTCCGACACCGTTGTGCATAGTTCTATTGTGTTTTGCAATTCAGTCTCTGCAGATCGCATTGGAATGGCTGCGTTAAGGTAGCTTGGTCACAGTAGTACTGGGAAGTAGTTTGTGCAAGCTTTGTAGTACACAGTAGTACTGGGAAGTGCTTTGTGCAAGCTTTGCAGTACAAAGTAGTACTGGGAAGTGTTTTGTGCAAGCTTTGTAGTACAAAGTAGTACTGGGAAGTAGTTTGTGCAAGCTTTGTAGTGCAAAGTAGCACTGGGAAGTGTTTTGTGCAAGCTTTGTAGTACACAGTAGTACTGGGAAGTGCTTTGTGCAAGCTTTGTAGTACAAAGTAGTACTGGGAAGTGCTTTGTGCAAGCTTTGTAGTACAAAGTAGTACTGGGAAGTGCTTTGTGCAAGCTTTGTAGTACAAAGTAGTACTCGGAAGTGCTTTGTGCAAGCTTTGTAGTACAAAGTAGCACTGGGAAGTGTTTTGTGCAAGCTTTGTAGTACAAAGTAGTACTGGAACGTGTTTTGTGCAAGCTATGTAGTACAAAGTAGTACTGGTAAGTGCTTTGTGCAAGCTTTGTAGTACAAAGTAGTACTGGGAAGTGTTTTGTGCAAGCTTTGTAGTACAAAGTAGTACTGGAACGTGTTTTGTGAAAGCTTTGTAGTACAAAGTAGTATTGGAACATATTTTGTGCAAACTTTGTAGTACAAAGTAGTACTGGGAAGTGCTTTGTGCAAGCTTTGTAGTACAAAGTAGTACTGGGAAGTGCTTTGTGCAAGCTTTGTAGTACAAAGTAGTACTGGAACGTGTTTTGTGCAAGCTTTGTAGTACAAAGTAGTACTGGGAAGTGCTCTGTGCAAGCTTTGTAGTACAAAGTAGTACTGGGAAGTGTTTTGTGCAAGCTTTGTAGTACAAAGTAGTATTGGAACGTGTTTTGTGCAAGCTTTATAGTACAAAGTAGTATTGGAACATATTCACGTCGCTTCGCGACGGCAACCGCCCGCACCGCATCGTTGGGCTCACACAGCAGGGGCATTGAGACCAAAAACATCCGAAAGTACTGATTGTCGGAAAAAAAAACGCGAAGAATTTGATGGCCATGTATAGCGGACCAACGCAATTCAAAAAATAACTAAAAACATGAAAAAACGGCGAAATTGCTGTTATTTACAGTGTTTTTGCGCGGTGAGAAGCAGAAACCACTGCAAATACCATGGTTTTTGAGGGTCAGGTGGCCAAAAACACTGTAATTTACAGTGTTTTTTTAAACCAACGTCAAAAAACACTGGTATTTACGATGTTTTCATTCACACCGTAACATAAAACAGCGTAATTTACGATGTTTTTGGAAGTTTTGAAGCTAGCCGTCAAGCATGCAGAAAACAGAAAAACACTGTAAAAACCAGTGTTTCTGCTATCACAAAACGACGAAAATCAGTCCGAAAACGGGTCCAAAAATTCAAAAATCCGCCTCCGGGCCAGGCCACCTGCGGAACCGCAAAAAAAGATGTTGCAAACCAAAAAATTGAAGTCAAAAAGTTGAAAAACACGGGGATTTTTCACTTTTCGCTTGCCGATTTTGGACGGGCGCGTTCACGAACAGGTGTCTTCCGTACTGTTTTTTACAGTGTTTTTTGAAGGCGAGCGTCACGACCTATCAAAAACAGGAGGTTTTGGCCGAAAAATGCCCCCCCCCCAGGTAAACCTGTAACCTTTTACGAGTGCCATCCGGAAGATCACGCCCCAGCACCTTCGGTGCGGGCGGATTTTGTGCAAACTTTGTAGTACAAAGTAGTACTGGGAAGTGCTTTGTGCAAGCTTTGTAGTACAAAGTAGTACTGGAACGTGTTTTGTGCAAGCTTTGTAGTACAAAGTAGTACTGGAACGTGTTTTGTGCAAGCTTTGTAGTACAAAGTAGTACTGGAAAGTAGTTTGTGCAATCTTTTGTAGTAGACATCAGTACTGGGAAGTACTTGACATGAAAATAGCCAAGAAGAACTTAGCTGACATATGGGAAGACATGGAATGAGATGAGAAGAGCTCAGATGAGATGAGTTGAGATGAAGTGCAAGTGTGAAGTGTGGAGTGTGGGGTGTGAAGAGTGCAATGTGAAGTGTGAGGAAAATGTTTGCATTGTACCGGGGGTCGCGCGCAGGTCATGTTCTTGGACAGCAACACTGCAACAGCTTCGCACAAAGCACGCACGCACGGGCCTGGCTGGCGCACGGCGCATGCAAGTTCCTTAGTAGTAGTACTGGGAAGGGATTCATGAAAGCTTAGGTGACATATGAGAAGAGATGAGATGAGAAGAGATGAGCTGGGATAAGGTGAGAAGAGCTCAGATGAGATGAAGTGTGGAGTGTGAAGGGTGCAGTGCGAAGTGTGGGGCAAGAAGAGTGCAGTGTGAAGTGTGGAGTGTGAAGTGTGAGGTGAAGTGTGGAGTGCGAAGAGTGCAGTGCGAAGTGGAAGTGTGGAGTGTGAAGCGTGAAGTGTGGAGTGTGTGGAGAGTGCAGTGAGAAATGAGAAATGTGAAGTGCGAAGTGGAGCTTTAAATGTGACATGAGAAACAGGACATCACTTTCGCAGAATGTACGCACGGGCTTGGCTGGCATACGGCGCATGCAAATTCTATAGCCTATATATAAGAAGGATTTTATATATATCCCTAAGGTAACTTCCGACCCGCCTCGTGCGGGTACTACTGATATAGTTAGGGTAGGCCTTGCCCATCTTCCAGCCATCTAACCCCCAAATATTTTAAAGCCACCAAGCATCTCATCAATCAAAAAACCATGGGGGGTACCCTACACTTTTCAATTTCCAATCAATTTTTGGTCAGTTCTATGTTTTCAACAAGCCCCCAAACAATAATCACCAAGAGATGCTTTTCAATAAGGTGGCATATCATATGATTTTTGGGGATACATATTATTGGCTGGAAGATGGGCAAGGCTATCCTCGTAGGATATTACACAGCAAGGAGACCCTCAATACGAGCAGGGTGCCTGTTTGGACTGTGACCTTAACTGTGTTGCTGAGTCTTCCTTTCCAAAAGGCGATGTTAGTTGATGTGTTTTTTGTGGAAGTGTATGTGTGCTCGAGCCAAGTTTTTGGCTCAAAGTTCGGCCGTTCTCAATTACTTGGAAATGGGGACTGGCGCCCACATTTGGGTCCATGTGAAAGGCGGGCAGAGAGCTTTGAAGATTTTCACGGAGAAACAAGACGATGTCAGTGAAGTGCTGAAAAAGGTGCAGAGGGAAGCAAGTCTTGAGCAAGTCCGTGCAGACCTCCTTCAGCTCTACCGGTCTGCAGGTGAGAAGGACAAGGGAGAAGTGACCTGACAGCAGGAATGTTTTTTCATTGTTGTCGGTGTAATTGTGGGCTTGTTTTTGGTTCCTGCCTCTTTCCTGCGCTTTGTGAGGCTGTTTCCCCAGACATGCTCATTCAGAAAGTTGATGGTGGCAAATCTGCGGCAGATGCTTTCTATGTGGAGTACCCTGACGCCTCTGGTGCCCCATCAACCGAAGGCATGGAGATGGTTGTGGAAGCCCTGCAGACACTGGAGAGAAAGCTGGAAACGATGGAGACAAATACGGCGAGAAAGCTGGAGACGATGGAGACAAATACGGCGAGAAGGCTGGAGACGCTGGAGACAAATACGGAGAGAAGGCTGGAGACGCTGGAGACAAATACGGAGAGAAGGCTGGAGACGCTGGAGACAAATACGGAGAGAAGGCTGGAGACGCTGGAGACAAATATACAGGTCTTGGCACAGACGTCCGCGGCCAACTTCCGAATTTTGCCTGTTCCAGAGGATTTAGAGACATCATTGAGAGATGGTAGCACATGGAGCAAAAATGTCAAAGCACATTATGGGCAGAAATGCTGCACCGTCCTGTCCCAAGTGTTCCCTCAAACTCATGCATCTTGGTGGTTTCCAGCAGTCTCTGAACACATAGTCCCCAAGGGACAGTGGCAAGTCGCTAGCAAATTGGGTTTTGAGGTGTCCAACAGTCGCAACGGCTTGTTGCTTCTAAAACATCTGGAGAAGACGTACCAAGCAGGAAAATGGACTCTCATCCCCACAGGCAACCACGCCAAAGGAGTAGAACTCAAAATCTACGTCAGCAATGATTTGAAAACAAAATCGATCCAGTATGAAGATGGGAAGGCGGTCTGTGGGAAATGCCACCGCAAAGACAAGCCGAGACCACTCACATTTGACGACCTGCATGAAAAAACCATTTCTGTGAATCCAGCTCCTTTCATGCGCTCCTTGTATCTCAAAGCAGAGATGGCTCATGGCGAGCACAACGAGTTGCCAAATCCACGGGACTTCACACAGAACTACGAAAAGCGTTGTGATGCAATGAAAGCTGTACTTCTTCAGAGACTGTTGCAGTCAAAGCCAGACCAGGCGCTCCCTGTTGTACAGTAAGAGTCAAGCGAGACCCTTGGTAAAAGGGCAGCATTTGCTTCCATTTCTGCATGTTGCTTCGCCCAAGAACGTCGTTGCCACAGTTGCACCTCTTATCAAGATTTATCAACATTTCATGATTACAGACAATAAAGATTTACAAGGTATGATTATGATATAATTACAATGTTTTATACCAACATCATGTGCTTGAATCTCTCATCATATACTTGTCTCCATCCTTGTATATCTGGTAGTAGTCCAGTGTTTGTTGCTTCGGTGTCTTGATTTTTTTTTATTCAGTAATCTGAGATACTGCTTCTGTTTGTCTTCAAAACTGCCTACGGGACGCCCAATCTTTTTGGATTCAAAGATTTTTTCAATCCTCTCCTTCTCCTCTGCTGGGGTAGGTTGTTTGCTGTCAAGTTTTTCTTCTAGTTTACTGACCATTTCCTTCAAGTGCTTGATGTTTTTGTTCACTGCTTGGACTGTTTTCAATAGCTTGTCTTCATTTTCACCGATCATACGCGTATATAAACAACTATATATATATATTGTAACTTATGTATTTAAATATTTATCAAGTTGAACTGCTTTGAAACTAATCTTTAAGTCGTTTGCAACACACTTTTCTCAATCCATATCATTCAATGTTGGTGCTTTGCTTTTTGGTGTACCCATGACATCACTCGTCATTTGGTTTCAGTGCTGGTCATCTTGGTTTTCAGGTGTCACTTGTCTGTTCCAAGAAAAACTGATACTGTGGTCTTCAGAATCCAATTTGATGTGTCCATTCTCGTCCCTACTGACATTCATTGTCTTATCATTTTTGCTGATTTTGAAGCTACAAAGATTACATGTACACTTTATACTCTTAGGATTGATTTCACTTTCATTCCTCGGCTGTAATTTACAGTGGCACAACGGACAATCAAACAAATAGTTTTACTTGTCAATTTTTGTTCTTCACTCAAGTTTATCATGGTTGGTTCGTCATCTGACAGTTCAAAATCCTCAGGAATTGGTTTCCTGGGAATTTTTGATTTTGCTTTCTTAGGCATCTATTAAAGTTAATTAGATAATATTATCTAATTAACTTTGCAACTTCACTTGCACTGACTTATCCACGCAGAAGAGAGGGGCGGTCTTCTTTTCCAAACTGAAAAATGAATTCCAAAACTAATTAGCTACTTCTGAGGGTTAATGCCCTTTTCTCTGTTCCAAAAGTTCCATTAACAAATAATATTATATTTTATTTTCTAACATATTTTATTATATGAAGAAATTAGAACCACCAAAAATTGAACCTATAAATGTCAAACAATATGAATTCAAACAGTCACCATACCCTCAGGCAGACAAACTACCTTTCAGAAGCATCATTGTTTCAGCATCACAGGGTGGAAAAGGCATACTCATTCAAAACCTAATTTTGAAAATCTACCGTGGTTGCTTTGAGAGAATTTATATCGTCAGTCCAACAGCTCATATTGATGAAGCCTATAAGGAAGTGATAAAATACATTGAGAAAGAACTTAAAATAGATAATAAGAAAGAACAATACTTATTTGATGAATATAATCCAGAAGCATTAGAACATATAATAGACACACAACATAAAGTGATAGAATATCAAAAGAAAAACAAAATGACTAAATTATATAGTTGCCTGTTAATAATTGACGATTTCGCAGAAGACAAAACTTTTATGAGATATTCAAAAATCTTCCACGGTTTATACACCAAATCTAGGCACTTTGGGTTATCAGTCATCACTGCCAGTCAGAAGCTCAATGCACTTGCGACTATTGTAAGAGTAAATACATCATCATTATATATTTTCAAGCTGAAAAACATAAGAGAGGTTGAAACATTCATTGAAGAACAATCAGCCTTAGTTGATAAGAAGACCTTGTATGAAATCTACAATCTTGCAGTCAATGACCAACCTTACTCATTTCTTTTTGTCAAGCTTCGCGAGAGTGACATCAATAAGACCTTTATGATAAGATTAGAGAAGGCAATTCACATTCAATGATATTATTTGTATTTTATAATATCATTAAATTAAACTCCAACTACATAGGTTAATAGCCGGTAGTTTATAAAATATTCTGTCGCTTTTCTTTTCTTCAATTTCTTTTATTCTAGTGTTCATTTCCTTTATAGCTTTTATTTGAAGCTTATCAATGTTTGATATATCTAAATCGTTTTCATTTATATTACTCAGTTCTTGAATGCAACTATTTTCAACAGATGATTGTTTAGAACCCATTATATTATATTATTCATCTAGATTATATTTATTCAGCTTTTGATTTAGCCTTGGCTTTTGCCTTAGGTTTGCTTAATTCCTGCAATTCATAAACAGAACTTTCTAGCCACTCAGTTTTTTGTTGTTGTTCTCTACAAACACCCCATAGAATACTTGATAGTTTAATATAACTTAACTTCTTAATACCTTCATTATCAGTCATCACTATATTTTGCCATTCAGGTGGGATTACTTCTGAAATCTCATCTGCAATAAATCCAATGTGATTTTTAGTTATACCTAATTCTTTTTCTTCTTCCATTTTGAAAGTTTTAGGTTCAATTTGTCTGACAATGTCAGTGAAGTTCTGTTCAATACTTTTGATATCATACTTTTTACTTTTATCAGATGTATCTACTAAATTGCCTTCCAATATGTAAGATGGAGGAACTGATACTTTTGATGGTGTAATATACATTCTTATGCCACCATTGGCATAAAATCTTAAATCTCCATTAGGGTCTTCATTATAAAAATTTGTATGATTAGCACCTGCTATATTTGTAGAAGTGATATAACTGTTTACGCTACTACCTTTATGAAAATAAAGTCGTTTGTCTTGAATAATATACTCATCTTTTGAAAGCATAACATCTTCTTCATCCTTTCTTAATCTCATAAATTCAGTATATCCATTTCCTGCCGTATTAGCTCCTTCAAATATCATATCATTAGTGGCTAATGTTCTTGTGCGAAGATAGTTACAATACAAATAGTTTGATGACAACGCTATTGAAGTTCCAACATTGACAATGTTATTTGCTCCATCTAATTTAAAATATTCAACCCCGTTCCTTTGAAATACCATATCATTATCACCTGTTGTGTTGATGGTATTAAGTTTAGCATTGTCAGCATTTAATGCTATTGCAGATGCCAGTTCAACTTCATTGTTTCTCAAATGAAAGAAGTTAATAAAATTTCGTCTAAAAATCACATCAGCATTGCCGACACTATCATAAATATTAGACCTCAAACTGACCGCATCATTTACATCCAAATTGCCACTTGTGGTAAATTTCATATATTCAACACCGTTTCGTTGAAAAACTAAATCAACATCAGTGTAAGAATTTATCAGATTACTTTGTAAGCCTAAGGCATTGGTAAATTTCATAACTCTATAAGAAATAATCTCACTGCTGTATATTTCAAACCTTCTATATTGAGCGAACTGGCTAGGACCACCTAAGGCAAACTTAAAAGCTTGTGCTATTGAACCTTGAAATTCCGTTTGACCGACTATTAATTGTGCTGTTTCACCTGTTTTCTTAACATAATTACTATCAATTGTTCCTCCTCCTATTTCTGGTGATGTTGGTTTATGAAAGGTTATGAGATTATTTTGTAATGTCATAACTAAATTAGTTGTTGTATCCGGTGATGTTGGACTACCTACATAAAATTTAATTTCATCGGTGCTCTCATTCATAATATAATTAGATACAGTTGATAAGCTACGGCTTTCAAAATTATCACATACGATATTGTTAATACATTCAGTTTTGGTATTCAATAGTGTTAGAGTATTTTGTAATTCTACCATACTTACGTTATCTCTTTTCAATACTAAATCCAATGGTGCTATTGTATCTATTTCCTGTGTTTTGATGTTACCTCCACATTGGATTAATTTATTTGCTACTATTCTGTTATCAGTTTTTAATTCTAACATACTATCACCACTTACTTTAATATCATATCTAGCGGTGCCAATGTATCTATCTCCTGTGTTTTAAGATTGCCTCCACATTGTAATAATTGATTTGCAATAATTCTATTATCATTTTTTAATTCTAAAATATTAACATTATTTTGTTTTAATATCATATCAACATCTCCTATTGTATCCATTGAATTTATGTTAAGGTTGCCATTACAAGTGATATTGCCAGTATCTAAGTTTTTGACAAATCTAAAACAGTCATCAGCATAATCAAATTGAGCATAAGGAACACTGTTAGATTGAAAAAATATATCATTGGTGTTAAGAACATTATACGTGTTTGCCTGAATGCTTTGAACGTTTATGTATCCTGTGCTGTCTAACGATGAAACAGTTAAATTACCTAACACTTGACTATCTCCATTCACATAAAAATCTTTTCCATT